GGCTTTATTTAAAGAAAAAAGAGAAGATGTAACAAACAGAAAAATAAAGAATCTTAAAAAAATGTGGGAAATTATAGCCATAGAAATGACTATAAATGGATATAGTGTTACACCACGACAAGCTGAAAATAAAATGAAAAGTTTAAACCGTTCATATAAGAATATGAAAAGTCATAATAAAAAAACAGGACGTGATAGAGCTGATTGTTCATATCGAAGGTATTTTACTATTCATAAAAAATGATAAATAAATATATATATATATATATATGAGGTTGGAAAACATTACTTTTCCGTTACCCTGCTTTTGATATAATTCTTCCTCTTTTTCATATAGGGAATTAGATGATATTTTAGGAAAAAAACATAACATTGAGCCTTTAGTAATATGTGGAAATAGAATCGGAACAAAATTAAAAGAGGTCGAAGAAAGATCAATATTATGTGAAAATAGAATAGGAACATTATTAAAAGAGGTCGAAAAAACATCAAATTCTAAAGCGTCATCTTCTCGGTATTCCGCAGGTGAAGATCTTGACATGTAAGTTTCGTAACTTTTAAATACATTCATCAGATAAACTGTATATTTACTGCATTTGGTACATTTTAATTGTAATATTTATAAACATTTAATATATCATATGTTTTTCAACTGTAGCATGCAAGAAGAAAATGAAACAATTACCGAGAATATTGAAAAAGAGAACAGTGATATTGTTACTATAAATGCTAGAAATTGTACAAACATTAATAGTAATAGTACAGATGTAAACGATACTAGTCATGTACAAACAAAAAAGAAAAGACCGAGTAACGTCGATATAATAAAGATACCATTAGCACTATTCTAGAAGAATCCAGAATGAGAAGGAACGAATCCAAAGACTTTCAAAAAAAATATTTGGAATTGCAAGAAAACAAAACTCCAGTAAGAGAAGAAAGAAATAATATTTTAAAGGAAAAGAATGTTATATTGCTGGAACAGAACAAATTATTAAAAAATCAAAATTCTGTACTGGAGGCAATTTTATCAGAACTAAAAGAACTCAACAACCCAACTTAGTTTTTTATTATAGATTATTACATAAAGAATATTATGTATTTTATTATTTTTAATTGAAAAATCTATGTCATTGAAAACCAAATTCTATGTTACAAGCGTATTATTTTGTTTCTATGATAGTTTATATGTATTAAAGCTCCTTTGTGACTCACTTTAAATTATAGGAAAATGTTATGTTACGTTAAAAAGAATATGAATAAAATACAAATAAATTACAAATGTGTAGCGTATTATTTCTTTAGTTACAACTTATTGTACAGTAATTTTAAATGAATAATTGTAAATGTTACAAAAATCAAAATATCATATCGATAACATTACATAGGAAAAATTAATCACAATCGAGTAGCTAATTGTCGACAAATTTCATCCCTTACAATTTGTCCAGTATTATTCTGTACATGTTCTTCGTGTTCATATTGTGCCACTTGTACGTGTTGTGCCAATGCTGGATCAGGATATGCATCATTCAATGGTGGTTCAAAAATGTCTATGTCATTTGCATTTGCGATGTTGTGCAAAATGCAACATGCATTGATAACTTGAACCATTCTTACAATGTTACGCAATTTAAAGTGGTATAATTGACGAAATCGTTGCTTTAAATCTGCAAACGAATTCTCAGATGTAATTCTACAAGAGCTGAGCTTCTGATTGAAATTAATTTGAGCTCTTGTTAATTGTCCATTGTCTCTGTACGGCACGAGAACATGAGGCAAACATGGATATGCACTATCGGCTAGTATGTATGTACCATCTGCAAGGATAAATGAGCAAATTCTTTCAATATTTTAAAATTGTAATTTACCAAAATGTGTTAAACACACATATTTAATACTATGCTGTAAATAAATACCTCCACAAATATTGTTTAAACATTCATTTAATTCAGACTCATTAAAAACACGAGCATCGTGTACAGACCCTGGATAACCTACAAAGACGTCAATGAATTTTCGTTGGTGATTAACAACTCCTTGTAGTTGTATTGAAAAATATTGCTTCCTATTAATGTATGAATCAGGATCTTCTAATGGTTTGTCTATACGAATATGGGTTCCATCCTGTATCACAAACAAAATATGTACTTAAAAATTAATTCGATAATGGAATCAATCAATAATAAAATTAATAATCAATAATTGATTGATTACAATATTATAATAATCAATAATTGAATAACTATGAGGAATAAAAAATTAATGAATAATTTATATTATTCTTGTTCTATTAGAAAGGGAATAATATAAATTATTAATATATATTGTTATGAACTCTTCATTTTTTAGCTTAAAAAATACATATATGAACTACACTAACATTGTATTACAACTATATTGTTTCTTTTCCATTACATTTTCAAAATTCTTACCTATGACACCAGGGAATCCTGTGCGATTCCTATAATACTGCTGAGTAACTTCCATCTCTGCATTAGTGGGCAATCTAATTATATTTGGCATTGATAACAAAAAGTCAGTTACACGGGTGATAATATTGAATAATGTGCTTAATGTGACTCCAAATCTATCTGCTACATCTCGGTATGATGCTGTTTGATGTCCAACAAACCATAAATAAGCAAGAACATGTTTTTCAGCTGTTATTGTGGGTTTACCTGAGGGTACTATAAATATTATAAATGAATTAATAAAATAGTTGTGTGTGATATTCTACAATTATTACAATTAAATTACACAACTATTCTTCTAGTATAACATTATATTATTATATCTTACCATGCAGAGTTACATAAATATCAGATCTTTCAAATCTATCAATTAGATCATATGCAATCATTCGTGACAAGCGAAAATGCATAATAAAGTCTTTTTCAATGTATGCTCGAGTCGTTTCTATATAATTTACGATCTTTACATGATTTATTCTTTGAATACCGTTAATAGCAGGATTTATAATTGCAAGTAAGTCATCATCATGATCTATGAAAAATTATCAATTTTTCTATTATTCTATTGCATTAATGCAAAACATCAATCATGTAGCATACTAAAATAAATAATGTATTCAATTGTGTTTACCATTATCATTGTGCAATGCAAGAAACTCATCGAATGGATTCTCTTCATCGGATGTAATACTATCGTCAGTTTCTGTATCCATGATGTCTTTTATTTTAACAGGCCTATTCGTAACCTCACTAATCACTTTTGAGCTTGCTGTTCACATGTGCACCCCATATTCCGAATAACGTTCTATTTGGAAACTTGAAATTGCACCGTACTGTCTGTACCGCATGCACCGTGACGACATTTTGAACTGTACCATTGTACTAGGTACAAAAAGTTCCTGCACGGTACTTTCAAAAAGAACATGCCTAATGAGAGTATACCTTTAGAATGAGAACATCGGTAAAGCTGTACACTCATTGGATATCGCGTGTCGCGCGCGACGAACATCGCGCTGGTGTGCCGGAGGCATTAGAGTTTGTCAAAATTCGAGGAGACTAAAGCCTTGAACACAATAGGCACAGGCAATAAGCACAGACAACAGAAAATAACGAATCAGAGCTCTGGGATATAATATCGAACTTACATACCAGAGACATACAAAAACGAATTTCTGTTCAAAGTGGTAAAAGTAAGAAAAGTCATTTTGGTTGCGTTGATATCACAGATACGATGGAATTGCCTGCGTTAAGCGCAACGTTTATTTTACATCTGTTAGCAGTTTTCTTTATCCTGTTTAGTTAGATTCTCGTCACTGAAAAACGTCACTCTTCATAACGCGCGTTTCTTTCAAGTCATTGAAGCGCAAACCTTATAACGAGAAAAGTAATACATCGATGTGTTATACACGTGGTCAATAATGACGTTTCGCTTTGAATTAGCTATGTTACAAATAGTCTCATCAATTCAAATCTTAGTGTTCGTATATGTATGAATACAATTGGTTTTAAATTGTAGGTCATATTGTAATTATTTATAAAATTATAAATACTTGTGTTCTATATGGTAATAGTATTTTTCTCAATAAAGGAGGATGTTTAAAAAATGCAACCATCTGTCCAAAATGATGAAATAATAATTTTTCTTCGTATATGTTGATCTCCTAGATACGATAGAATTGATTGCGTTAAGCGCAACTTTTATTTTACATCTATTGACAGATTTCTTTATCCTGTTTGGTTAGAATCTCGTCACTGAAAAACAATTTGTAACGCGCGTTTCTTTCAAGACTTTCAGGCGAATACTTTATAACGAGAAAGGTAATGCATCGATGTGTTACACACGTGGTCAATATTGCCGTTTCGCTGTAAGTTATCTACGTTTCAGACAGTCTCATCATTTCGAATCTTAATGTTCGTATATATATGAATGCAATTGGTCATAACTTGTAGATCATATTGCATATTTTAAAAAATAATAAATACTTGTTTTACATGTTAACAGTACTTTTCTCAATAAAGTAGGGTGTTAAAAGAATGCGGATATATGTCCAAAATGGTGAAAGTTAAGTAATAATTTTTCTTTATATACGTTGATCTTATAGATACGATAGAATTACCTGCGTTAAGCGTAACGTTTATTTTACATCTGTTGGCAGTTTTCTTTATCCTGGTTAATTAGAATCTCGTTACTGAACGACGTAAATTATTATTTGTAACACGCGTTTTACTTTTAAGTCATTGAAGCAAATACTTTATTTCCAGAAAAATACATTGATGTGTTACACATGTGGTCATTGCTTTTTCGCTTTAAGCTAGCATCATTTCTGACAGTCTTATCATCACAATCTTGGTGGTAATCGTATGTATGAATACAATTGGTTATAAGTTGCAGGTGATATTGCAATTATCCATAAAGCATATTAAATACTTGTTTTACATAGTACCAATTCCTTTCCCAATAAAGGAGGATGTATAAAAAAGACGAATTTCTGTTCAAAATGGTAAAAGTAAGAAAAATAATTTTGGTTGTGTACGTTGATATCATAAAATTGCTTGTGTTAAGCGTAAGTTTTATTTTACATCTGTTGGCAGTCTTTCTTTATCTTGTTTAGTTAAAATTTCGTCACTGAAAAACGTCACTCTTTGTAACGCGTGTTTCTTTAAGACTTTGAAGCGAATATCTTATATCGAGTAAGGTAATACATCGATGTGTTACACACTTGGTCAATATTGCCGTTTCGCTTTAGGTTAGCAACGTTTCAGACAGCCTCATCATCTCGAATCTCAATGTTCGTGTATGTATATATGAATACAAATGGTTATAACATGTAGGTCCTATTGCATAATTTATAAAATCTTGTTTTATATGTTAATAGTGCTTTTCCCAATAAAGTAGGGTGTTTAAAAAATGCGATTGTCTGTCCAAAATGGTGATTGTTAAATAATATTTTTTCCTTGTGAACGCTGGTCTCCTAAATATGATAGAATTGTCCGCGTTGAGCATAACGTTTATTGTACATATGTACATGTTGGCAGTTTTCTTTATCCTGTTTAATTAGAGTCTCGTTACTGAAAGACGTATCATTAATCGTACCACGCGTTACTTTCAAGTTATTGAAGCAAATACTTTATTACGAGAAAAATACATTGATGTGTTACACATGTGGTCAATGCTTTTTCGATTCAACCTAGCATCGTTTCTGTCTCATTATCATAATCTTGGTAATCGTATGTATGAATACAATTGGTTCTAGGTTACAAGTGATATTGCAATTATTCATAAAGCATATTAAATACTTGTTTTGCATAGTACCAATACCTTTCCCAATAAAAGAGGATGTATAAAAAAAGACGAATATCTGTTCAAAATGATAAAAGTAAGAAAAATAATTTTGGTTGCGTACGTTGTTATCATAGATACGATAGAATTGCCTGCGTAAAGCGCAACGTTTATTTTACATCTGTTGGTAGTTTTCTTTATCCTGTCTAGTTAGAATCTCGTCATTGAAAAACGTCACACTATGTAACGCGCGTTTCTTTCAAAACTTTGAGGCGAATACCTTATAACGAGAAAGGTAATGTATCAATTTATTACACACATGGTCAATATTGCCGTTCCGCTTTCAGTTATCTACATTTCAGATAGTCTCATCAACTCGAATCTTAATATTCGTATATGTATGAATACAATTGGTCATAACTTGTAGGTCATATTGCAATTATTTATAAAATTATAAATATTTGCTTTATATAGCAATAGTACTTTTCTCAATATAAGAGAATGTTTAAATAATGCGAATTTGTGTTCAAAATGACTAAGGAAAATGTTTTTTTTTGTAGATATTGATCTCCTTGGTATGTGATAAAATTGTTTGCAGCAGATGTTAATCTCGCAACTGTTGAAATTATTCTTTACCCTGATTTTAGGTCTAAAAGTATAATCCAATCAACGGTAAGAAAACATCCAAGTGTTGTAAAGTAAACGGTCTGCTAAACGCAGCCAATTTTATCATATTTAGGAGATCAACGTCTACAAAAAACCCTATTTTTGTTGCTTACATCTTTTTGTGCAAAAATAGGTTTTTTTAACGTTCTTTTTTCACATTTTTTTTGTATTTTGGCAACTTACGTTCTCCGTCGCTTTTATTCCAAATATTGGCACATCATTAATTTTAAGTTTTTTTTTACCTTCAGCTCGGTTATTTTCTTGCATATCGCGTGAGAAATGTACCTGCAATAATACATAATGCATAAAACGTTGGGAAATGATAAAATTAAAACGAAAATGTCATAGGCTTAAAGACATAAACAGTGATAAACGATTAATTATTACATACTATTTGCTATGGTTTTTAAGTAATTCAATAATTAACTACTTGAATTAAATGCTCTACTGTACTGAGAATTCAAATATTAAGTCTCAAAAGTACCATTCAAACCAATGCTGGTTGGCTAATGCGAATATATATATATGTATATATAGTACCAAGAAATAAAGATAAAAATATAGTCACACGTTTCGATCATTAATATCGTCCTCCTTAATGATTATAATTCAATTACATGTATATGTAAATCTTTAAATATATTTTTATAATTGTTTAACTAATCTTGAACTTACTTCATATAGAAGTGCTCTATCAGTAGGAGTTCATTCTTTTCTTCCAACCTGTAGCTTATTCAGCCCGCCGAGTTGGATCTCGAGGTAAAATTTTTTATAGTAAATCCCTTTTCATCAGAATTTATGTCCAATGGCCGGTGTTGTACAACCAGATATGTTACTGAAATATTTAGTAACTGTGTAAATGAAGTAACGTTTATTTTTAGGAACTATTGTTAAGTGTAAAATCATTTTAAAAATTTACGATTGATCTTTCAAGTTTTGGTTATAGACATTACAGTAAGTTTAATATATCCTACAATTGTAACTGGTTATAAGAGTAACGAGATCATTATTATCACAACAAACATTATTATCAACAATCATTATTATTATAACAGAATGCTGCTACTGCTGACCTATTCTGTAACCCTTAACAAATGTTTTTATAACATTACTGCATAGTTCTATTAGGCTAATTCTACGACATGCTTTGTGTTTTCTGTTTCTTGCTGTTTGCCTCTTGCCTTTTTGTTGAAGAAGGCAAGAGACAAACAGCAAGAAACAGGAAACAAAAAGCACATTGTAGAATTAGCCTTAGTAAAAGATCTGTGTAACAGCGTTTTAATAATGTTTTCCTTGAGAGTTACAGAATAGGTTAAAAGCCGCGATGAGTACTTGCAACACCGTTACTTTTTATTATTTTGTTTTAATAACGATTTACTAACAAATTGCGAATTTTGTAAGACGATAACGGTGACACCAGAGTTAGAATCTCGTTACTGAAAGACGTAAATCATTAATTGTAATGCGCGTTCCTTTCAAGCCATCGAAGCAAATACTTTATAACGAGGAAAATAATACATCGATGCGTCGTTACACACGCGGCCAATGCTTTCTCGCTTAAGTTAGCTTCGTTTCAGACAGTTTCATCATCACAAATCTTATTAATCGTATGTATGAATACAATTGGTTATAACTTGCTGGTGATATTGTAGTTGTTCGTAAAATATATTAAATACTTGTTTTATATAGTACCAATACCTTTTCCAATAATGGAGGATGTTTAAAAAAGGCAAATTTCTGTCCAAAATGCTGAAAATAAGAAAAATAATGTTTTTTGTATACGTTGATCTCCTATATACGATGAAATCGACTGCGTTAAGCGGAACGTTTATTTTACATCTGTTGGCAGCTTTCTTTATCCTAAGGCGCAGTTCGTATTCTAAAAGTTGTCTTTGTTTAGACAGACGCGTCAAAACAGATCACGTAATAAAAATTGACGAATATCAAGCGTATATTTTGATCACACAACCTATTTTA